TGAGCCACTATGTGGGTGCTGGGAATTGAACTCAGGGCCTCTGGAAGAGCAGTTGGTGCTCTTAACCTCTGAGCCATCTCTCCAGCCCTGCATTGGAGTTCTTAGCCTTGCTGTCTCCTCAGATTCCACTCACTGGGTTATGTGATGCATTATTATGTATTTGTTCCCTAATTGACCATGAATTTAGCCCCATATTTATGCTCCATACATCATTTGGGTTCCTTCTAGATAGGACTCAGTCTAGTATAATAGAGGGACATGCTTTGTACTGTTGACACACTACTGGAAATTCACTGCTGGAAATAATAATTTCAGCAGTTTAAGGGAAACAGAAACCATGGCTCTGCTGTGAATCGCCCATTTCCCCTCAGTGCTCCTAACCTTTCTCTGAACCAGGTGCCACGTCCTGACGGAAAGCCTGACCACCTTGGCCTCTTGGTGTTAGATGAGCCATCTACAAAGCAGTCGGACCCTACTGTGCTCTCACTCTGGTTAACAGAGAATTCCAAGCAGCACAACATCACGGTAAGCTGCTGGTCTAGAGCAGGGCCCAGCGTGAAAGCAGGGGATTAGGTCAGAGGCTGCACTGACCATTGCCTGTTGAAAGGTGTGGCTTCAGACCAGCCTGGGTTTTTTTCTTTTTTGTTTTTCAAGACAGGGTTTCTCTGTGTAGTTTTGGTGCCTGTCCTGGAACTCACTATGTAGCCCAGGCTGGCCTCGAACTCACAGAGATCCATCTGGCTCTGCTTCCCAAGTGCTGGGATTAAAGGCATGCACCACCACCACCCGGCCAGCCTGGGTTTTTAGTGATGGCTTTATTGAGATAGTTTACATACCATAGGAGTCACACACACACACACACACACACACACACACACACACACATTTTTTTTTATTTGAAGATTTGCGTGTTTGTGCCTCACATGAATGCAGTGCCCGTGGGGGCCAAAAGAGAGCATCAGATCTCGTGGAGCTGGAGCTACAAATGGTTGTGAGCTGCCATCTGGGTGCTGGGAATTGAACCTGGATCCTCCATAAGAGCAGCGAGTGCTCTTAACCCCTGAACCATCTCTTTAGCCCCAGGAGTCACCCTTTTAAACTGGACAGTTCACTCACTGGCTTTCAGTACATTCACGGAGTTGTATGCTTATTACTCTACAGTGCTTTTCTGTTCCAGCCACGGGTCCTGGCACTGAGCCTCCGTCACTACTTACAAAGCTTCCTCCCTTCAGAAAGGAGCCCTAGCCGGTCTCTCTTCCAGACTCGACTGTGACTAATACGCTTTGTAGTGTAAGCCGCATTTCCTTAGGCTCGTCAGTTGTTCCCACTTTCGTTAGGAGCACAGCTAGAACATTCAAGTGTACGTCTTTGTATGGCGGATGTGTGATCTCTCCTGAATATATGTGGAGGAGGAGGAGGAGGAGAAGGAGGAGGAGAGCTGCCGAAATGTTTTCTGCACTGGTAGCAGTCCCACCAGCAATGAAGGAGAACTGAGAATTCTCCAAATCCTAACTTACACTTGTGATTGGCCCTTTTAATTCCTGCTGTCCTGGCAGATGTGAAATGGCATTTCACTGTGGTCAGCCCCCCTTTTACTGTGCCTCCTTCTCATGGCTCCACCAGTCTTTTTCTTTCTTTCTTTTTTTTTCTTTTTGAGACAAGCTCTCAGGTAGCCCAGGCTAGCCTCAAACTCCTGATCTTCCTGCCTCTGCTTCCCAAGTGCTGGGATTGTAGTTGGCAGGTGTGCATCACTGTGCTCAGCTATCAGCACTTTTTCTTCTCTTTTGGCTTTTTGAGATAGTGTCTGTCTATATAGCCCTGGCTGGCATGGAACCACTATAGACCAGGATGGCCCACTGGAATCTACCTACCTTTACCTCCCAAGTGCTGGGATTAAATGTGTGTGCCATCAGGCCCAGCAAACAGCACTCTTCCAATTAATAGTTTTAAATTACTGTCCTAATCTGCTTCCTGTTGCTGTGATAAACATCATGACCAAAAACAACTTGGGAAGGAAAGGGTTAATTTGGCTAACACATCCCATGTCACAGTCCATTCATTGAGGGAAATCAAGTCAGGAACCTTATAAGCAGGAACTGAAAGTGAACTGACTTTCAGCATGGAAGAGTGCTGCTTGCTGGCTTGTTCTTCCTGCCTGTTCTGGATCTCACTCTGTAGACCAGGGTGGCCTCAAACTCACAGAGATCCGCCTGGCTCTGCCTCCCCAGTGCTGGGATTAAAAGCATGTACCACCGCCCAGTGCTCAGCCTGCTTTCTTATACACCCAAGACTGCCTGCTTAGGGGCTGGGTCCTTCCACATCAATCATCAACAGAGAAAATGCTCCCCCCCCCCCACTTACCACAGGCCAAATTAATGGAGGCAATTCCTCAACTGCTGCTCCCTCTTCTCAGATGACTTCAGCTTGTGTCAAGTTGACATAAAACAACACCACCCTGGGGCTGGAGAGATGGCTCCGAGGTTAAGAGCACCAACCAACTGCTCTTCCAAAGAACCCAGGTTCAGTTCCCAGCCACATGGCAGCTCACAACTGTGTGTAACTCCAGTTCTAAAGGACCCAACACCCTCACACAGACATGCAGTCAAAACACTAATGTTCATAAAATAAAAATAAATAAAATAAACAATTATTAAAAAAACAATACCAACACACACACACCAACACACACACCCCAAAAAATAAATGAAACAACTCAGTTATACAAAATAATGGATGTCATTATAATGTATCGCTATCATTGTTCTCCTTATTTTTCTAGCAACATATGAAAGTAAAGAGCCTGGAAGATGCAGAAAAGAACCCCAAAGCCATTGACACCTGGATCGAGAGCATCTCTGAGTTACACCGTTCTAAGCCCCCTGCGACTGTGCACTACACCAGGTGATGATGACTAGAGGTCGCTGTGTAGTCTTAGTTGGCCTTCAACTCAGTCTTCTGCTTCTGCCCCCTCGTGACAGTACATGGCAGAGACAGGACTTCACCACTGTAGTTTATAGTGACTGGCACCATCTGTGACCCTCTGCTCCTGAGGAAAGGCCAAACCTGGGGGTAAAGCAGCTCCGCATGAGGTCCTTAAAAAGATGTCCATCACACTGCCTCATCTGACTTAGAAGTCGGAAGGTTGGCAGCTGTTGGCACAGTCTGCAGATGCAAAGATGAGCATTCTCTGCATCAGTACTTAGCTGGCTGCTTCAACCTCCTCCCTGGTAAATTTGCTTTCCATTCCAGGTTCTCCTGGAGCCCCAGCTTACCCAGTTGAGTGCCTTGGTTAGAGGTAGCTGACCCGTTGGTCAGTGATTCTCTTCGTATTTACTTCTCCACTCTAGGCCCATGCCTGACATTGACATGCTGATGCAGGAGTGGTCTCCAGAGTTTGAAGAGCTCTTGGGAAAGGTGAGTGGGAAGGAGCAGGAGTGAGTGTGGCATCCATCCAGGGCCCAGGGTTTTCTCTCTTCTGTGTTAGCACTCTGGCTTCTAAATGGAACTGGAACCCATGATAGAAAATAAATACATACTGTAAAGCTTGATGGTTTTGCCAACTGACCACACCTATGTAATCAACACATTAGATTAGTAAACCATACACCGCCAGCCTTCCAAAAACCCCTTCTGCTCTCCCCGTCCAAAGTGGCCACTGTCCTGTTTTTGTATTTTCTCTAAATCTTCCCCCTTCCCATCCCTGCACTGGAGGTTGAACCTAGGACCTCATCCGAGGTAGGCAGTGCCCCACAAATGAGCTAGTCCTAGGACCCGCCCTCTAAATCTGCTTTTGTGCCCTCTTCTCTGCATGATGGGAGACTCATCCATGCTCTAGGTCTTGTTTACTCATTTTCATAAATGAATTGTAGACTGTTCTTTAATCTGTAGTGACGGGCATTTAGAGAGTTTCCAGTTCCCGTGTATTGCGGTAACGCTCCTGGGACATCCCCTCGGCAGCCGGCTCTGATAAACATGTCTCCTGCGTTACTACTGTCGGCGCCACTTTCTCTGGAGGTGTTGTCTACGTCAGAAACTGATGCCTCATCCTTAATTGCCAGATGTTTAAATCTTACCTGTCTGTCCGTCCGTCTGTCTGTCCATCCATCCATCTATCCATCCTTCCATCCATTTTTCTGTCTAACAATCATCTATTTCTTGGGGATTGAACCAAGAGCTTCCTGCATATTAGACAAGTACTTTGCCTACACTACACTACACTCTAATTTTTATAACAGAGAAAAAAACTTAGGAAAAATAAAATATAGGAAAAAATATAGGAAACCATTTTGTTTGTTTGTTTTAGAGACAGAGTCTCATGGTGAATCCTAAATTAGAACTCACTCTATATCTAAGGTTGGCCTCCAACCCATGGGATTTCTGCTTCAACCTCCTGAGGGCTGGGATTACAGACGTAAGCCACCAGCCCACACCAAACCAACTCTTTATTTTTTTTTTTTAAAGATTTTTTTTATTTATTTATTATGTATACAATATTCTGCCTTCATATATCCCTGCTCACCAGAAGAGGGTGCCAGATCTCATTACAGATGGTTGTGAGCCACCATGTGGTTGCTGGGAATTGAACTCAGGATCTTTGGAAGAGCAAGCAGTGCTCCTAACCTCTGAGCCATCTCTCCAGCCCCCAACTCTTTATTTTTAATTCTTTTCACTAGCATACAAACTAACAGCTTTCATATTGACGCGTTCACGCACACTCACCTGCGGTTGGTCCTTTCATATTGACGTGTTCACACACACTCACCTGCGGTTGGTCCTGTATAGTGACGTGTTCACACACACTCACCTGCGGTTGGTCCTGTATAGTGACGTGTTCACGCACACTCACCTGCGGTTGGTCCTGTATAGTGACGTGTTCACACACACTGACCTGCGGTTGGTTCTTTCCCGAGTCTTGTCTCCATCACTCTGTCCTCCCAGGGAACTCCTTTCCACCTTCCTGTCATGTGTATTCTGTGACCCTTCCCACTCACTCACACCCTCTTTTTTCCTTCTCAAGGGCCCCTTTCTCATTTCCTAGCCTCTTCCAACACTCACTCTCACAAAAGTACACACTTAGAAAAATTAAAATGAGAGGCCGCCTATGAGAGAACATTTGTTATTTGTCTTTCTATGTTCCTGTATATTTCATTTCATCTTTCTTTGTGGCTAAAAGAAATTCTGTTGTGTATAGGTACCCATTTTCACTCTCCATTCATCTGTTGATGGACATCTAGACTGAATCCATTTCCTGGCTATTGTGAATAAATCAGCAATAAACATGTAGGCAACCTTTGGGCATGTGCCCAGGAGTGGTAGAGCTGAGTCATATAATGGACATTCTATTTTTAGTGTTTTGTTTTTCTTTTCTTTTTTTTTTTCTTTTTCTTTTTTTTTTTTCAAGACAGGGTTTCTCTGTGTAGCTTTGGTACTTTTCCTGGATCTCACTCTATAGCCCAGGCTGGCCTCGAACTCACAGAGATCTGCCTGGCTCTGCCTCCCAAGTGCTGGGATTAAAGATGTGCACCACCACTGCCCAGCATGTTTTGTTTTTCAAGACAGGGTTTCTCTGTGTAGCCCTGGCTGTCCTGCAACTAACTCTGCAGACCCAGGTGGCTTCAAACTCAGAGAGATCCACCTGCCTCTGCCTCCCAAGTGCTGGGATTAAAGTCCTATGCCACCACCGCCCAGCTTCCAGTCTTTTTTTGTTTGTTTGCTTTTGACAATTTCACAGTGTAGGTGCAGATGGCCTGGAACTTACTATGTAGACCAGGCTGTCCTGGAACTGGTAAAGATCTGTCCATGAGTTTTGTCTCCCAAGTGTTGGGCTTTTTTGACTGTGTCCGTCCTGTGTTGCTGCCAGGTGAGTCTGCCCACCGTTGAGATCGATTGCAGCCTGGCCGAGTACATCGACATGATCTGTGGTAAGCTCCTCCCTGCCCCTGGCCCTGTCTCTGGCAGCTGTGTTCTGGGCCTTTGGAAGGGCTTGCTGATCCCTGTACAGTGGTATCTTGATTTACAGTCTTCACTGGAAGCCAGCTGCACTGTTGGCAGCCCTCTAGGGTGGTGGTGGGCTGCACATTGAACCCCAAAGTACCTCCAGTTCTGGAGGGTGTCGGCGTCTGTCCCTGTGAGCTCTTCTCTGTTACAGCTATCCTGGACATTCCTTTCTACAAGAGCCGGATTCAGTCCCTCCACCTCCTCTTTTCCCTCTACTCAGAATTCAAGAACTCCCAGGTGAGACCGGCTGTCCAGGGCCCTGCTGTGCCTGTGTTCTCCTTGGGCTCACAGTGCCTGTTCCATGATGATGTGAGCAGCAGAGAGGACTGGGGTGTGGGGGGAAGAGAGGAGGGGCTTAAACGGAACTTAGTGAGGAGGCACACGGAAGCACGCGGCCTCAGGAGTGCGAGCAGGGAGGAGACAGACAAGGGATTTGTTTTGAAGGGATGGGTACATCGCTGTCTCTTTCAAAGATAAACCAATGCATCAGTTGGAAGTAGACTTAGGACATGTTTTGGGACATGTCTCACTATGGCCAAGGCTGACCTGGAAGTGATGGTATAACCCAGGCTAGTTTTGAACTCACAGTGATCCCCTCCTGCCTCATCCTCCCAGTTGCTAGGATTCCAATCCTGTGCCACCTTGCTCAGTTTAGCTTAAAGGAGTTTTAAAGTGGTCGTCCTTGTTAAAATGTAGCAACTGGCACTTTGCACACTGTCTCCTCTCCTTTTCTTGCAGCATTTTAAAGCTCTGGCTGAAGGCAAGAAAGCATTCACCCCTCCCTCCAACTCGGCCTCCCAGGCTGGGGACGCAGAGACGCTGACTTTCATCTGAGCCGCCTCCTAGGGCTGCTTCAAAGTCAGATGAAGACATGGTCTTTGGTGGAGCTTAACATCTGCCTGCCCTACAGCTGGCTCAGGCAGCACAGGTCCTGCTGCCCGTCTGCAAGCGCAGGGCATACATTTACCACTGGGCTCCTTCTGCCCGCCCGCCCACCTCTGATTGCCTTCCCCAAGGAAGGACACGGCCACACTGCTGTGGGCATCTGAGTTGGAAGAACTGGATTTCGGGGAGCCATAGGACACAGGTTGGGGGTGGAGCTTCCAAAAACACTCTTTAACTGGAAGAATGTTCCGTCGGTTTGTGATAGAATATATATTTGGTTTTCACCCACGGCTCCTGACTCATTCCTCCCCCACTGTCCTGGTGATTTCCAGTGTGACTAGGATAGGACTCGGGCCTGCCTCTGCCTTTTAGACTCAGTCTTCCTGTCTCTGACTTGTACCCCTTTCACCCACTCTCTTTTCTCCCCAAGCAGGCCACAAAGACTGAATCTCTTCCTCAAGGCAAGTCGTGGATACTTGCCCTTACAGTCTTACATTCTTCTGTTTTTCTTTTGTTGGGGGTATGAGACAGGGTCTCATGTAGCCCAGGCTGGCTTTGAACTGGCTGTGCAGACTAGTCTTGAAAACCTGACCTTCCTGCCTCTATCTGCCTCCACCTCCCAGGTTGAGGCTTACAGACATCTTCAGGCAAGCCCAGCTTATTCTCAAATCCTTTGACCCACTTGGCTGATGATAATAGATTAAGACCCTCATTTAGATGAGGTCTTGCCCCTTCTTAGCAAGGAAGCAATACTGAGGAATTTGCAGACCCCGCCCCCCACAAATCCACAGTATTAGATCAGACCATTTTTGCCTGGTCACATGTCAGCATAGCAGTCCATGTTTCAGCTGTGCCTTTGTATGACACTTCCATGGAAACTTCAAAGGTCAGGGTGTGGAGAACTTTCAGACAGAGGCAGGGAGGTTCTGAGAAGGTGGCATGCATCTTACGTGTCTTTTTTTAATTTTAAAATAATCTTACTAGTTTATTTTAGACAGGGTGTCTGTACAGCCCAGAGTGGTGTGTAGTTCACTGTGTAGCTCGGGCTAGCATGAACTCTATCCTCTTCCCTTTGCCCCCTGGGTGTGAGGATTACAGTCCCGAGTCGCCATGCCCACTGTCCACCCTTCACCTTTGAGTGTCCTTATGAGAATCCGGGAGAGGTGTTTCTCTGAGTTCTGCAAGCGAGCAGGTTGTTGGGGACACCTAACTTACCTGTGGGTGTTAAGAAGCACAGGCAAGGCCTTTAATCCCAGCACTCGGGAGACAGGCAGGGCGATCTCTGTGAGTTCAAGTCCAGCCTGGTCTACAGAGCGAGTTCCAGGACAGCCAGGGCTGCACAGAGGAAAAAAAAAATGCACAGGCAAAAGCATGGCCCTAGGGAGCGAGCCTAGCCGTGGCAGCGTTTGGAGAGGAGCTGCTTAGGTGGGAAGAGGTAGAGGATAGATTGAGGAACTGCTGGAGTGCTATCAGCCACTGCCAGTCAGGAAACCTGAAACCGCTCTAGCTGTTTTAACAAAGGACAATGAACACAACAAAGTGGTCAAAAAAGTATGGCAAGATGGCACAGCAGCTAAGGTGCTTGCCACAAAGCCTGCCAACCCGAGTTCAGTCCCTGGACCTCACAAGGAAAAGGAGAGAAGTACCAAAACGTGTCTTCTGGTAGCCACATGCACTTGCATGAATACACATACACACACACACACACACACACACACACAGAGAGAGAGAGACACACATACACACGTAATTTTTAAAAAGTTTAGCGTGGGAAAACAGTAAAACAAGGGAGAATAGGGACTGATGGAAGTTCAAGATTGGTACCCGGGACAGGAGCTGGCTGTGGCTGGATCCTGAGGGCTAAGGAAGACTGCACAGCCTCATCCATCACTGCAGGGACTTTGAGCAAAGCTGTCGCTTCCTCTCTCACCTGCCTGCCTCATGACAGACACAAATGCAGGCCAGGAGCATGAGAACAAGGAATTACACACACACACACACACACACACGTTTGGAAGGTCTGAGCCCCATCTTTTGGAATTTTTATGGGGACCTCATTGCACAGGCTTGACTGACTCCAGGACAAATATGTAGAAATATGACTAGCCCCAAAGACTGTGATCGATTGCTAGATGCTGGGGAGGGAAAGCTAGCAAGGCCCGTCTGCTTGCTCCTTCAGTATTCCCTGCTCTGGAGAAACAGGCCAGTAGAGGTAGAACCAACAGAGCCTGACAGAGACTAGACATGGCGGATGGAGAGAAAGGCCACTTGGGCGTCAGCAACTGCACTCGTGGGTAATGGAGCCAAGTACTGACGGGAAGCAAGTGGGACCTTGGTGGATTGGGGGAGGTTCCACTGTCAGCCTGACAGACCAACACACACAGACGACAGGTCACGTTTCTACAGACTCACACCAGCTGTGATCACGTCAGGCTGGTGGCTTCGTTGCTGCTCACTTGGACACGAGGCCAGGCGGTCTGTTCTCTGTTCCCTTAGCATCAGCGTTAGTGTTTAACTCAGGAGGGGAGGTGTGCTGTGATAGGAGCTCAGATACTCCACTAGGTTTTCAGGGAACAGACCACCGTGGCTGTGGTTCTTACCCATGGTAGTTAACGTTCCATGTTAAACTAACAGATACCGAACTGCTGCTCCTGGGGATACACAGGCACTCGCTGTGATTGAAAACTCAGTGCAGAGAAGGTTGGCATGGCCCTACACGAGGATGACGCACAAATTCGTGAAGTGCTCCATGTTTTTCCTCTGTTTGAATCTATTGTGTTTTGTACAGGACATTATCCTCTGTGCTGTTTTGTGGTTATAAAACTGCTGGAAATGTTTAAAAGAGAGAGAGAGGGAGGGAGGGAGAAGGCTGTGTATACACTGGCAGTGTAGATTAGTAGCTGAGCACTTGTGTGGCATGCACCAAGCCTCGGCTTCCGTCACTAGCACAGCGGAAAGAAAGGGGATGGGGTCCATTGTAAAACATACTGGGAAACCCAGGGTGGTGGTACGTGGCTGTGATCCCATGTACATGGTGGAGGCAGGCAGAGCAGACGGTCAAGGTTGTTCATCCTCCTCTGTCCAGTAGTGAATTTAAGGCTAGCCTACACTACATGAGTCCTTATCTCAAAAAACAAACACAAAAAGTGTTGAAGGAATGAACAAAGACATACTTATTCAGTCAAGGTAGTTTACTGTGTGTGCGGCACGAACCAGTAACAAGAGTAAAATTACAAAACAAGATACCAAGAAGGGAAAATAGACTCTGTACTCTATTGTTCTCTGGTCATTTACATGTTGCTGTTTAAAAGCATTCTTAGCTCTTTGGGGTTATGTGGGTTCCTGCTTTCTCTCTGTCCCCCCAAATCTTGTGGCACTGTTGACTTATATACCCACTATGACCATCTCCTAAATAGGATGGGGCAGCCAGGGACTGGTCAGGGATGCTACTGCGTGGGGAGAGACATGCAGAGAGAGAAACCATTAATCCTGAGTGCTCAGAACACAGTGAATTGCTGAAGGCCAAACATGGGGAGCCTGAGGAAGCCATGGGCCCTCCTCTCCCTGGGGAATGTGCTTAAAGTGGGAACACTTGTACAAAACGATGCATAGCTACACGCCGTCCTGGGAGGCAAACGACCTGTCACCACCTCCCGCTCATCTTGTGCTAACACCAGAGGCTGCCAGCCACCTGGGGGCTCCAGCCAGTGGAAGTCTAATGCCCAGTGAAGGAGAAGGTCTAGTGTGTGACCTTTGATGCCCAAGAGGAGATGGGGACAGACGGGCAGAGACATATGCAGCAAAGGGGACTCATTTGTGCTTGGCCAGTCCCTGGGCAAGGGGCCGGTTCCTGAGCAAAGGGCAGTCTGGTTCTCTACGACTAGCGGGGGGCTGGTTTCCCTGAGGGAAAAAGCTGCATAGCATGGGCAGGACAAACATCCGAGCTGTGCAGGGACCCTCCTGTCCCCCACATAGGCACCCCTCTGCCTACTCACGAGGTACAGAGGACACTAGTGTGGAGCGTGTAGTAGGCCAACCTCTTACATGTGGGGTGACACCTGAACACACCAGGTTCCATCTGCCTGGGCCCAGTTGTCACATGCAAGACCCCAGACTGAGTGAGCACAAGGGGCCTAGCTCTGACCAACGGTTTTGCCAAGGCTAGACCATGCCTTTCAGGTTAGAGTATAATAAAATCCATCATGCATGACCCTCAGGGTACCCCTACCAGGAGGGCCACGTGGCAGTGGCGTGGCTTCTTCGTGGTCACAGCATGGCCAGGCAGAGGAAGGCTTGAAGGAGACACCGGGGTGGGGTGCTCTGGGGGGTCCACAAGCCGCCTGGGCCTCACGCCTCACCCTCAAGCTCAGAGCCAGATCTCATCACTGCTTACACTGGACACTCGGTAGATGTAGCCCAACATCGGGAGACGGATGAAGCCTGCGCGTCAGAGATGCCAGGGGCTTAGTGACGCTGGTTCTCTGGGGCTTGGGAGAGCCCTTTCTGCCCCGGCACCCAGGGGCGTTGGGTACGAGCACAGGGATGTGCAGAGGAGCTGAGGAGAACAGCAGGGCCCTGCTCAGTACCTTGGCTGGTGAGGAGGCCGCCATGCTCAGCTTCTAGAAGCTCCGGACGGCTGCTGTGCTGAGCCGCTGGCCGCTCTGTTGCTTTCCCTGTCGGGTGACAGATGGGGTGGCGCCAGGGCAGGGCTTGGCCTAAGGGGACACGCGTCCTCCTAAGGACCGGGGACTCTCTTAGAAGTTCTCAAGATGGAGCCCAGGGAGAGAACCGGTCCCAGGCATACCTCTGAGATCCGGAGTGAGGTCATTGAGCTGAAGGTTGGATGGGAGGGACATGTTCTCACGCGGCAGGCGTACATTATTCAGTTTCAGGTTATTGGAGTCACTACAGGATAGACAAAGGCGGAGACAGACCCTGCTACCAGCAGGCACGCAGTCTGCTTTGAGGCTCAATCCAGACCTCCCAGAAGCCCAGGTGACCACCTGTCCTTTAGTTTCAAATCCAGTGCCTTGCGTTTTAGTTTAGCCCATCTGCCCAGCCCCAGGAAGCATTACCTAGATATCAGAGATGGACGCCGGGAGGGGCCTGAGGACAAAGAAACCATGCCACAGAGTCAGTGTGCCCTCCCATGCTGGGCTCTGCCCCCTGCCCGTTCAGACTCAAGACCCTTGAGCCAAGCGTCTCTCAAATGCCCAGGCCTGGTCCTGGGACCGGAGACGGCTCCAGGACCTGTCCCTGCTGTCTGCAGGGCACGCAGCCACACCCCCAGCCCTGCCCAGCAAGTGTCTGCCACATGGCAGAGATGGCGGGCTCTGCCCGGCTCTGCCTGCCACCCCCCAACTTCACCGTTACTCTCCCACCACCCTCGGCCTCCTCTGCCTCTGACCCTACCTTTAGTTTTCCTCTCTTTCCTGCAGACCAGGCAGGCCACCAAGGTACTGAACCCCACTAGAGTGCCCAAGGCAAGCCCTCCAGCCACAACGATGCCCAGCAGTGGCACTTCCACTCGGGAGGCCAGGAGCCCTGCAGATTGTCCACTGGTTAGTTTGCAAGTGAGCAGCACCCCCGACCCCGACATGCCACGGCTCCAACTACTCCGCCCTTGCCCAAGGTGGCTGGGAACAACTCATCCGCAAGATCCACCCACGGGGCTACAAGCCCTCCCTTTCCATTCAGGATCCCTGCACCCACCCGAGGGTTTGCCAGGCCAGTGGCTTACCTGGAGCTGGAAGTGAGGCACTGGTGACACCCACATCATTGGTAGCCACCACTGAGAGGTTGTGTGCCAAGCTGTGGAGCTGCAGGTGCACGGTGTGGTTTGTGAGCCAGGGATAGTTCTGAGCATCCAGCACCAGGAAGTCAGAGGCATTCACAGTCACTGACCCATCCTGGTCAATCCAGGTGACATTGGCAGGCGGGTTGGCCCGCACCAGGGCAAACAGGACAACCAGAAGGCCTGGGCCCTGACCTTCCTGATACTTGGCCCCGACCTGGGCAATCTCTGGTTTAACTAGAGCAGAGCACAGAAAAATGTGCTTTCGTTACAGGTCCCTCACTCTGGCCCTTTTCCCCAGATGTGGATGAAAACCAGGGCCTAGGAATTTCCCCAGAACACGTGAAGGAACAAGTAGCTGAGCCTGCTGGCCCAGCATTAACTCACAGTGAGTAAGATAATAAAAGCCAGGGGACTGGGCATGTGGCTCAGTCGGTAGCGTGTTTGCCCACCATGCAAAAAGCCCTGAGTTTGATGCCGAGCAAAGCATAAAACCAGATGTGGTGGTCATGCCTGTAATCTCAGCACTCTGGAAGCTTAGACAGGGATTTCCAGTTTGAGGCCACTTTTGGATACACAGCAAGACTCTGTCTTAAAATTAAAAAACCCAGCCGGGCGGTGGTGGTCCACGCCTTTAATCCCAGCACTCGGGAGGTAGAGGCATCGGATCTCTGTGAGTTCGAGGTCAGCCTGTGCTACAGAGCGAGTTCCAGGACAGGCTCCAAAGCTACACAGAGAAACCCTGTCTCAAAAACCAAACAAATTAAAAACCCTGGGCTGAGGCTGTAGCTTATTTGGTAGAGAGTTTGCCTACCATACACAAAGTCCTGGGTTCAGTCATACCAGGCATGGTAGCACTTGCCTATGACATCGGCACTGGAGAGGTGGAAGAAGACCAGAAGTTCATAGTCATCCTTGGCTATGTAGTAGCTTTGAAGAAAGTCTCAAAGTATAAAAATAAAAAAGAGGGCTGGAGAGATGGCTCAGAGGTTAAGAGCACCACTGCTCTTCCAGAGGACCTGAGTTCAATTCCCAGCAACCACATGGTGGCTCACAACTGTCTGTAATGAGATCTGGTGCCCTCTTCTGGCCTGCAGGCAGAACACTGTATATATAATAAATAAATTAATTTTTAAAACAAACAAATTAAAAACCCTGGGCTGAGGCTGTAGCTTAGTTGGTAGAGAGTTTGCCTACCATACACAAAGTCCTGGGTTCAGTCATACCAGGCATGGTAGCACCTGCCTATGTATGACCTTGGCACTGGAGAGGTAGAAGTTCATAGTCATCCTTGGCTATGTAGTAGCTTTGAAGAAAGTCTCAAAGTATAAAAATAAAAAAGAATAGAAAGCCAGCCAAAGGTTCTCGATTTGCATCCTGGCCCCGCTTCTTAACAGCTGTGTGACCTTGGGCAGACTGTTCAACATGTTTGTGCCTCAGTTTCTCATTTGCAAAATAGGGACGAAAATAGAAATTCCCTTATAAGATCAATGAGGATAAAGCAAGCTACACTGCAAAGTGTTTAATGTTTGTGAATGTCCGGTTAAAGATGAATATGTCATGCATACCAGTAATCTCAGCACTAGGGAAGCTGAGACAGATTTGCAAGTTTGAGGCCAGCCTAGGCTATGTAGTAAGACTGCCTCAAAACGAAACACTCAAAACTCAAAACTCTCCTGTTGGGGGTCCAGTAATGGCTCTCCCTGCCCACCTCAGGAATACTTACATTGCACATTGAGAATGACAGAGGCGTTGGCTGACCGGCCACTCCCTGGGTCCTGTAGGGAGCAGTTAAGCTCATGCTGGGCACGCTGGGCAGTGACCGTGAAAGTGCTGGTGCCTCCAGAGAAGGCCTCCCCGCCCACACTCAGTAGTCTTGAAGTGGTGGCCTCCTGTAGCTGTCCATCCAGGTACCAGGCTAATCGGGGAGTGGCGGATCCCCCTGCCACCCGACAGGTGAAGG